AGTGCAGAGATTACAGGCGTGCGCCACCATGCCGGCTTTTAACTGCCGGGTTTTAACTACTCTGGCCCTGGGGTCGTTTGGAGAGAGAGTTGGATGGAGACCGCCCGGACCGGGCTTTTAGCTCCCGACACTACACACACGTGCCCTGAATCCCTGTGGTCCGCACTCAGTAGGCGACCCCGCTCGCGCGGTCGCGCTCTGGCAGCCCCCAGCCTCCGGCCCCTCGCCCATCCACACGCCACCCCCCACCCCCGCGGCCCAGGCTGTCGCCCGCTGACCTCACCCCGCGCCAGCCGCAGCTGCGGCTCCAGCTCCGCCTCCCCGCGCGCCCCGACCAGCCAGAGCCGCACGCGGTTGCGCGACCCCGAGAAGATCCAGGCTCCGGTGGCCACGCGGATGCGGTAGCGGCCCATGTTGCCCCCCGCCGATCGAGCTGGGGAGCCGGGTCCTGCGCAATTCCTGGGACCTCCCGGGGCCGCTGGCGCCTCTGGGTCACTTCCAGACCTTTAAAAGATGGGTCTGCACTCCCGCCCTCACAATTTCTGGGCACTCCCACGTCCCCGCCCCGGGCTAGCCCGAACCTGCGAGTGGAGCGGCAGAGCAAGCTGTGGGGCTGTGCCTTCGGGTGGGAGGAGCGTCGCTGCCAGAAGGCAGATAAAGGAGCCCGGCAAGGGTGAGGCCCGCAGGATAGAGGCGGTGCGCCCCGCTGGACATACCTGGGATCCCTGAGGGCAAGAGCCTCCCTGGAAGGGAACAAGGATGAGGACACTTCGCAAGGTCTCCAAGTCTTTGGGAGAACTTGGCAAGAGGGAGTGAGTCCATCTTACCAACAGGAGAAATCTATGGGCTGGGACCTGGGGAAAGCTACTGGAAGGCCAGCTTAGAAGGCTGGGCCAGTTTTCGGGCATGCTGTGCTGCTAGACCCCGTGCAGTGCAGGACCCCAGATCTCCACTCCCTGTGAGCCCTGTCCTTCAATAAATGACCGGAGGTTCCCCAAACTACTACCTAGGACAAGTAACAGTTTAAGCCTTGGTACCCTTCGTACCCGTCCCTCTTACACTCCGCAGCTTCTCCACACCCTTTTTAAACATCTGGCCTTTAAGATCCCTAGCACATCAAATATTGCGGGCTGGACCTCTTTTTCTTTTTATTTTGAGACAAGGTCTCACTATGCAGTTCAGGCTGGCCTTGAACTCACTTTGTAGACCAGCCTGGTTTGGAACTCACAGTGATCCTCCTGCCTCAGTCTTCCAAGTGCTGGGATTACAGGTGTGCACCACTACCCCGGCTAGACCTCTTGAGAGTGCCGGGAGGCAGGATTGTATTGTCCAGTCTCCACCGATGCAGGAAATGTTAGGAACCCAGAAATACCAGCCAGGATGTTAGGGTGCTGAATAGAATCTCTTAGGGAGCAGAAATGGGCATCCCTTTCAAGGTGAGTACAGCCCCTTCTCCTTCAGTAGGTCCCAAGTTAATTTTTATTCGCAAGCTGTCTCTTGGTCCTTACTGTGTCTCATGGTAGGAAAGCCAGGAACAGTAACTGGACCCTCGCTGCTTAGGGACTTTGTAAACAATAGAAGGTGGTTCTGGGCTCTGGCTTTGTTGCCCATCTGGGAATTAATCAAATCAGGCCTGACTCAGGGTCAGAACTCTCGTACAGGTCCCTGTCTAGACCTTTGTGATTAAGGAAGCATTTGGTTCACAATGGGTGCCTCTAGAGGCTTGGGCTGCCAGATAAATCTGCTTTCTGAGCCAGACCTCAAAAATGACTTAGTGTGCTGGACGTTGGTAGGGATAAGTTGGTAAGGAGGTGGGGGTTCCACCTTTCAGCCTGCAAACCTCACAACAGTGCCTGGTCCATCCTGGATACTATTCCTTGTCCTCCATGTCTGCCTCTGCCTATGTGCTCTGCTGGGTGTCTGCCATTTGACAGTTCCCAGTTCTGGTTGTGTGAAGTCATCATGTTCTCTAATATGCAAATAAAGTGGCTCAAATTCCCTTCCTTGGTAACAGCAGGATCTGGTCTTCTCCACACATATTTTCATGAGTCACTTTTGTGTTCTAGAAAAGAAAGCTTGTTTCATAGCTACTTCCAAAACCAGTCCATACCACAGCCTGTTTCTCTGCTATTTTCTGACTTTTTTCCGCCCACTCTAGTATACTATGAAATCATGTGGAGAGAGAGTTGAACTCATAGCAACAATAAAAATGTGGTTCCCAGGGGCTGGGGGTTGGGAGAGAAGGAGAAATATTGCTCAAAGAGTACAAAGCTTCAGTTATGAGTAAGAACTGGAGACCTAATTTACAGCACGGTGACTGTAGTTATACTTGAAATTTGCTACGATGGGAGAGCTCAGGTGTTCTCACCACACACACAGTCACTAGGTGAGATGATGGATATGTTTATTAACTAGACTGTGGCAGTCATTTCACAATGTACACATTTATGAAAACATCACGTATGTACATTAAATATACAAGTTTTAATTGTATATTTTACCTCAGCAAAGCTGGGGAGGGGAGTTTCAGATGTTTATAAACAGTTGTGTTGAAACACAGCATTTGGTCTTGCTCTTCCCTGGCAAGTGCTGCTAATGCTCTTTCACAGTGGATTGCTGGTTCAAAGAGCGCATGTGCATGTGCGTGTGAGGACACAGAGATAGTGGAATCATGGAGGACAGTTTAGTACAAAGACAAGCGGACTGCAGACTGGAGTGTCAGGTGCCTTTCAAGGGTATAGAGATCGAGCCAGAGCTGGCGAGGATGGGTAGTAGAGCCAGTGAAGGAAGAGGCTGAGGTGCTTTGGGGGGCTGAAGCAGAGAGACTATTTGAGCCCAGAGTTCAAGGCCAGCCTGGACAACACATAGGGGAGAGAGAGAGAAAAGCGCAGAGGGAGAGGAGGGAGGGGAGAGGAGAAGACGGGGGGGGAGGGGGGAAAAAAGAGAATATGAATAAATGAATTGGGAAATTTTTTCTTTGTGTTGCTGGGTATGATGCATACTAAATAAGCACTCTAATTTGAGACACAGTCTCACTAAGCTACCCAGGCTAGACTTAAATTTGCAATTTTCCTACGTCAGTCCCCTGAGTAGTTGGGATTATGGGCGTGCACCACCATACTTGCCTATGACTGGGAAACTGTGACAGGCGTGCTGGGCAGGGCTGAGACCCTAGAGGAAGTTGGTGACCGTGAGTTTACCCGTCGTTCGGGAGTGTGACTTCCCTAGTGGATTCACTACTTGATTGCTGCCACAGGAAAAATAAAATACCGGAGCATGAAGGGATGGAACAAGGATCCCGAGGCTCTGCCTGGCAGAGGCTGACAAGAGCCCATCCGTCATTTCTATTCTTATCTTCCCAGACAGCGGTGGTAGAGCAGGTGTGCACTCTAGGCCCCATTCTTCTTTGTTGTCAGTTTGCCTTTTAAGCAACCATAGAGTCTAGACTGCCCTTCTAGACATACTTCCCACCCACTATCATCTCTAAATCACTTCCATTGCTTGTTCTGGAGCTGGCTGTACTCAGCATTTCTGTAAAGATTGGGAGGTTCATGCTGTTCCTTCCTCCAGCTCCCGTGGCTAGTCTTTACTCCTCAGGGTCCCAACACTGCACTTTCTTTTCAGGAAGAGGACTCTCTTTTCATCCCAGGGTATCTTGGGCTTCTCATATACCTTGGAGAAGCCACAGTTAAAGGACAGGTGAGCTATGGGGTCCACCCCAGGGATCTTCTCTGGGACCCCTGCCAGCATTGTCCAGCAACTCCTGCTCTGCTTATCTTTCTTTTTGCTTTCATGTTTACCTTACCTCCCATGCTGTTTAGGGTTCTTATGCGATTTCTAGAAACTTTTCATATCTTGCCTACTGTGTTGACCTACCTTGCACTGAACCATGTTTGAGAGCTGTCACTGACACTGAGGTTTGCCATGTGATAGATTTTACTGAAAGTCTGCAAGGACAGGGAGTGGAGTGAGGTGACTGAAGCTCTTGCTTTGGGTGCAATATATAAGGGGCTCTCAAAAACTCAGCAATTAAGACAAAGAATATCTTAGTGCAACATTTGAAAAGTCAAAATTAATGTAAAATATCCATGATGAATAAACTATCAAAATTTTAAGTAAAGACAGAATTAGTTATGACTTAGCCATCTATATTTTTAATTTTTAAACTTTTTATGTTTATTTATTTTTGTTGTTTTGATAGAGAGTCTCACAGACTATAGTCTTCAGGCTATACTTGAACTCAATATGTAGCCCAGGCTGGCTTCAAACTCCCAGTGATCATCCTGTCTCAGCCTCTTGAGCACTGGGATTGCAGGCATGCACCACCCCATCCAGCTAGCCATCTATATTGTTAACATGTTTTAAAACCATCCCTGGCACCAGAAAATTCCCTGATTTGACCCATAGCACCCCCATTCCCAATCCATCATATATGTTTCTTTGTGGAATCTTTTAAAAATTTTTTTTCTCTGTTTATTTCCACATCTTCCCTCCAACAATAGCATATTTGAAGAAATCAATTTCTTTCTTTCTTTCTTTCTTTCTTTCTTTCTTTCTTTCTTTCTTTCTTTCTTTCTTTCTTTTTTTTCTTCCTTCCTTCCTTCCTTGCTTCCTTCCTTCCTTCCTTCCTTCCTTCCTTTCTCTCTCTCTCTTTCTTTTTCTTTCTTTCTTTCTTTTTCAGGGCTGGGCATGGAAGCTAGGGCCCTGCACATGCTAAGCATGTGTTCTACCACTGATATACAACTGCAATTGTAGTATTATTTTGTTATGTCAAGGAATTTATTATTCATTGTGGTAGTAAACTGATTGTGTCAACTTGAGTAAGAAACAGCCAACTAAATTGAATCAGCATAGTTCTGGGTATAGTAGAAGGGGTTTCCTGAAGATTTGCTGAGATTTACTGGGTACAAGTGACAGCAACCAATAAGCTTGCCATCTGAGTGGAATAAAAGGGATGTGGAGAAGGAAGGCTCATTTCTGTTTCTTTGGAGGAGCTCTAGTCTTCACTTTCACCTGTGAGGTCATCTCCTGGTTTCCAGCATAAATTCTTCAGCCTTTGGGTGCAGACCTTTCAGCCGCCAGCCCAGACCCTTTGGCTTCCTGATACCAACTCATACGGGACACTGCAGTGAGCTCCAGGCCTTTCACTGGATCTTCTGGATCTCCAGCATGAAGACAGCCCTTTTGCACTCTTCTGCACCTGACTCTGTGGGCAGCCATTATAAGCCAATCTTGTAAATGTTTATATATCTGTGCATCTTGCATTAAGTGTTTCTCTAGTAAGCACTGACTGATACACTCATCGTTTCATTTCCTTTCTGAACTCTGCTCTGCCTCCCAGCTTTCTAAAACCAAAATGGTTCTCCAAGGTATTTTGTAAATAATGGGCCATCTACTTTCTAAAATTCTTAAGCATCACTGTCTTCTTTAGTAGGTGTCTATAAATTGAAAAAGATGGGCTCTATTAAGGTTCATATACTGCTTGTCCTCTCCCCAAAGAATAATTGACTTCAAATACGTGTGTGTGTTCATATGTTTGATGGAGGAAAATTAATGTACTTAGTTTAATCCTATAAAATTCTGAGTAAATATTTGTAGCCTAGTTTTATAAACAAAGACACTTCAGGTCACTTAGGGGAAGGGAAGTGCTCAGAGTTGTATAAGTAGGTGGATTATCCTAGATATTGTCATGAGCTTGATTTGTGCACTCATCTTCTTTCTTTTATTCTTCAGTGTTACTTTCTGCCCTTGTCACCATAACAAATCTGCTCCCAAAGTTGATTTATGATCTCTTCATTCTTAAATTCCTAGT